ACAAGGAAGTGACATGAAACACTGCAGCTTACTCATGTCTTCCATTGTCAGTCCTGTTTACCACATTTCTATTTGTGTCTTTATTACACAATCCCAGGTCATAAATGAGATTATCTTTATTTGCTTATTAGTCAGTTATTGCTTTATTAGCGGTGGCTCACTTGCTATGAGATAATCTGTGTAAAGAAAACCATCTGTCTGTGGGAAAAATTAACTAAATGTCAACTGTGTGTGGGAGTGAGTGAGTGAGTGAGTGAGTAAGGATTTGATTTTTATCTCTGATTGATTTTCTTGTAGCCTAATAAAATTCTAATAAACTTCTGGCACAAATTGAAGTTTCACATGATAAATAGACTTGGAGGCTTTTTAGTCAGTGGTGAAACACAAGTAGGAGCAGTCAGACACTAATGTCTGCCCTCTTAATGATACGTAGACCACCAGGTCACTCGGGGGGAGGGGGGGGGAGGTGATTATTATATATATATATATACATATATATATACCAGTCTTTTAAGTTAGCAAAAATAATAGTGTAACAAAACATATTTGTCAAGTATGTATGTAGTAAAAATGTAGTTGAAATGAGCTCTTATCAGTGAAGGTTTATATTTCCATCATGTTATCTGCAGTGTCATTTCCCTCCTGTCTTGACATGTTTGTCCCTTTACTGTGTTCATTTTTTCACTCCTGTCAGTTGTTGTTACAATAATGATGTTGTTCCATGCAAAAATACAGACACAACAGTATTTAGCTGAAAATGCTGATGTTGGAATTGTAAGCTGTGTCAGATTCACGCTCAGACCGGATAAATGCCATGAGGGTGTAAATGTCAAGTCCACACTTGCTTGTGCCTTTAACCTATTTCCTGATTACTGCTTTTTGCATCTTCTATATGATGTCACCCAACACCACAGTTATCTGTCTGTCAAACGTTCACAGTTTCAATTACATCAACTGCATTTCCATTATTGTGGTTCTAATCCTAATGATGACTTGACAGCTTGAAATGACCTTTTTTTTTATTCATTAGAAATAGAACACATTTTACAGTTTAATATAGTTTTAACAAATGTGTTCTCATCTTGTGGTTTACTAGACCTCAGAATTTAAGGCCCAATTAACTATGGAATAATTAGCTTGTTTGACATTACTGTGGTGTTGAGTCATACTGCTACCATTCACAGATATGCCTTTCATCATAACACATTTTTTCATATTTGTACTTTTGTAATAAAATATATACTTATATTGTTTCTTGTTTATTTTAAATTAAACATTAATATTACACTAATTTAAATGGCAAATATTTGTCTTTGTGTCAAATATAGGTATTTGACAAAAACATTTTAATAACAAACCCTCTAATAAATGGACATCTACATCTGCATTATAAATCTACAACTACAAAAGACGCATTGTATTTGTGAACAAAACATTTCAGAACATCATTATTTTGCAACTTGACTTTTTTTTCTATTTCTGTCACTTTACAGACAAATGACAGAATTTGGTTGTGTGAAGGACAATGGTTAAGTCTTTACTGCATGAACCATGATAGGAATTTTAACATGATATACGACTTCAGGTGATGAGAAATTCTAACTTATAGACACAGACACTTGAGTATACAAAATACCAGTGTGAAGACAATTGAAAATTGGACCACAAAAGGCATCAATCTATACAGTGGATAATAAGTCATTAATTCGGTCAATAATCAATGCAGAACATGTTTTTAAATGCCTAGTGTAACAATGTATTGGACGGATATCAGGAGATGATTTTTTTGCTTAAGTCAGCTGTCCTCTTGGCTCTGAACCACTGCTGACTGCTGGTACTTTATGAGCTTGTCCTGCCAATAGTAGCAACAAATATTCTGGGTTCCTGTTCTCTAGAGAACAGTTTGATTGGTGCATAGTAAAGACTGTACACGCAGAATGGTTTTCCCTTTATCGTCATGTCTTCATAGTTAAAATTGTATAGCATTACAAATGTATTGAAATACATTGAATAAACATTGTTTAACGAGAAAGCACACATATTTTAAGAAAGAAAAGCTACACCCATCTGGTTTCATTTCCATTTGTATTACTATGACTTTGTTGTTGGCTCAGCCCAAGAGCTTCTTCAAATCCCTCACTGTTCAACCAGTTGATGCTTGTTTGATATACACAGCCACAACTATGCAGGGCATGCAGCAGATATTTTAGAAGTGTAAAACTCCCCTCTTTAAGCTTATTATAAACCACATTCCTCCCAGGGTTTCTGCAAGGGAAGTAACTTTGCTGTAGCGTTTTTCAGTTCTTAATGAGATCTGGCTCAGTGGGAGCTGAGATGAGGCAATAATCATTATGACTATATGTACCTCAATAAAAAATCATCATAGTGTTGTGAAAGGTTTACGGTGGTAATTAAAGCAGGGACAACTGAAAACAAAAGCCCGGGCCAAGTTTCATAACAGTAAATATGCATGTATTATGTCTGCAGGAAGGCTTATCTTTAAAAGGGAAAGATTTTACTTCTCAGCACAGACTGTGCTGGAAGATTTTCATTTTCTAATATTCCTAATACCATTATGTTCATGTTGACACAGGCCTGCTGAAAGAATGTTTTTGATCAGGTCTGAGCTAAAGAATTTAAGTTGTTAGAGTAACCTTTTCTCTTGTGTGTTGTTGCTCTCTGCCACTTATATGAACACAGAGTAACTGATGATTTAATTTGTGTGAATGAATGCACAGATGTTGCCCTGAAAGGAAAAATTATTACTCAGGTGCTGATTTTCAGTTGTGTTCCATGGGAAATCACCCATATCATACGCCCCCCTCCACCCTGTCTTTTCCCGCCTACAATTTCAAGGTGGGCTCACCCGTATGTGGCCCCTATGATAGATAGCTGAATGAAACTGGATCCCTGAAAAAAGACCAAGCACTCCAGGAGATGCACAGCCTGCATGCCTTTCCCTCAATGGGGCTCTCATTGGGACATTTCCTCAGTTGAGCCTTGTTCAAAGGGGCTTGCGCTGCAGCCCTGATGAAGGGCAGTACAGTAGGTCAACTGCCGATAGAGTTACAACCTCCCTTTTGTGGAGGTGTAGGACAAATTAGACCTTACAACTGTTTACCCAGCCACACAGGGACAGCTGCATCTCCCCACCCTCTGAAACCTGCCACTGAGTTTTGTTCCTTTGGGGAACCATCTGTGAGGAACAAGCATGCACCGCAACAACAGTTTTACCTCTGCTCGGGGGTTGATATGAATGGCTTCTTAACTGAATCACTGTGGGCTTGGTGCATTATGTGATCCAGCTGCCATTTTGGGCAGAGTAGTGGTTGAGGGAAGGAGATTTCACCAGCTCGTCCCTAGTTAGTGGGAACGACCCTGATCTATAGCCTTGGCTACAGCACTTAAAATCTCTTTATATTTTGCATTTTGTAGAATATCTTTGTATTTCTTAACTCATAAAGCTTAATGACCAAATAAACATATCTATCGTGCTTAAAGATAGATAGATAGATAGATAGATAATAACATATTACAAAAATGAGAACCAGTATTGAGCTGTTGTTGTGTTTTGCTGTGGTGTTTCTCAGTTTTTGCGTTACCCCAAGGTCTTCATTCTAAGGATGTTGTTATTCTTTGTGTTTTTGCAGCAACATGAGATGTGATCAATAATTCTCAGTTCAAGGTACTTATGCGCACAAGGAATCGTCTGTCAGAGTAGCATACGCTGCTTGTGTCTGGTGTTGGCAGACCCCTTACATTTACCATAATCCTCAGTGACACTACCAAAATTAGTCATTGTTATTATTTTTGACATTGATTGTATAAATAACATATAAAAATGATATTGTAAATATGTCAGACCACTTCACCAGATCACACAGAAAATGAGAGCGAAAAGAAAACCATTTATGGTAACAGTGCGTTTCACTTGGCTGCTGGTTGTGCCAACGCTACAGCCGTCATCATTTGAAATAATGATTCTCTTTTACCACTTTGTTGGATCAATCACAAATCTTACATGCTATGTTACTGTCTACACACACACAACAAATCATGTTCTGGTGTTATTACCCCACAATATTCATCTAAACTCACCTAAACAGGAAGCAGCCCCAGTAAATAAGCTCTGCGAACAGACAACAGCAATGGAAGAAATAATAGTAAACAGATGGAATAATCTGCACACACCATAACAATCATACAATTTACAACTCAGGGGTTTAGATGAAGCCCTTGGTCTATGCCTTGAGCATTGAGTCATTTTGCTGCCATGTAAACAACCACTGTTGTATTTTCTGTCCAAGGATTTAAACCCCATTTAAAATGAGAACATTCTTTTAGTACCCTCACTTTGTCTGCAGAAACATCACCCAAATTGGATACAGCTGGCTTTGGTGCAGGAATGTAGTAATTTTTGACATAAAGATGTGAAACACATTGACCTCTGGGCTCTATTGTGCAAACAAGTACAATTAACTGGATTTCTCCTGGGATGCACGCTGACTCATTCAGGTTTTTAAGCTCCTCTGTTAATGCAAGATTACCACTGTGCTCTTGAGTTGAAAAGCCGTGGCTCTATGATCCATGGGGAGGGGGATGAGGGATGGGTGAGAGCAGTTACTCCTTATTTCCTTATTTATCAGCAGTGACACTATCAGTGAGGCCTTATGAATAGAGAGCCAGTCATTCAGAACAGTGGGGCCACCTTGGCTGTCAAAGCAGAATTTAAGCAACATTTCCCAGTGTTGCCATGGTGACTGTGGGAAGTGATTAAGAAGAGAGGGTTTTTAGCGCAGTGCTGCCACAGAAGTGGGTATTACCATAGTGGTTTGCACAGTGATCACCAGAGAATTACTGGCTTAGATCACACAATTTTACTTTTGTTTCGTGCTCAATGAAATTTTCAGTTACATGGTGGCAGAACGGGTGGTTTTTGTGTGTGTTTGAATAAAGAGATATATGACTGTTTTTCTTTCTTCTTGTCTCTCTCTCTCTAGGGAATATGTGGTTAAATGGAACAGAAACAAGTACACCGTGAGGATTCTTTATCCCTTGCCCCAGGAGCCCAACCATCTGAGAGGGTGTTGGACGTCAGTGAGGCAATCCTGGGCCGTTGGCACTAAAATGTCCCTAAGTGGTGGCACTGCAGGCGGGAAAGGTGTGGACTCTAATGCGGTGGACACTTATGACAGCGGGGATGAGTGGGATATCGGTGTTGGAAATCTGATTATTGACCTTGACGCTGACTTAGAGAAAGATAAACTTGAGATGTCTGGTACCAAGGACAGCATGGCAGCACCACCTAGTGCAGTGGCAGCGTTGCCCGACAACATCAGGTTCGTTAGTCCAGTGTCTGGAACCCAAGGCAAGGAAAGCAAATCTAAATACAAGCGCAGTAAAAACTCTAAAGACAATAGTAGCAAAGCTTCAGCAGGTGATATGGGTAAAAAAGAAACCCCAGGACGGACTCAGGGGGAGCCGACCAGTACAGCAGCGGGAACAGGAGCTGCTGGCACTAATTCCATCTCTGGGAGGAACATGGAAAAGGGAGGCAAAGCCTCTCGGGGTGTTATGAGTGGTAAGAAAGAAAAGGACGGGGCTAGTGGGAAAAATAAGAAGGACAAAACAGATGGAGCCCCGGTCGTTGCAATAGCTGCTTCGGAGATGGATGTTGTGTCTCAAGCCCAAGTTGCTCTGGGGAATAGTCGTAATGCATCCTTTGAGAACACACAATCAACAGACTTGGCAGAAGCCAATCAAATGGGGAATATTGCACTTGAACAAGTTGGGATAGTACCAGCATTATCCACTAAAACTGAACCAGAGGAGGTGGAGAATGGTAGCAGTGATTGCAAGACAATAAAAAAGGTGAAAAATGAAAAGGTAAGTGGATTTTATTTGATTTGTGTTTTCAGACCGAGGCCGTCATTTTCTCAGGCTTTTTAAGGATAACATAAACATCTTCCTAATGTTTGGTTTGCTTTTAGAAGTCGTTCGTTTTTAGAGATGTGATGTGTTTGCAGTGATACATTTTTGAATAAAAATGTTTATTATTTAGTCCATTATAACTACACTAAAACTATAACTACAACACAAAGTGTTTCACTGAAACACTTTCTGTGCTCTCCAGCCTTTTGTTTTGGATAATTGAAGTTGTTTGTTTAATTACAAATGTTTTCACTATTTGTTGGTTTTCTTTCAAGGCAGCTGTGATTTTTAAGCTGCATTTGTCTTTCTTTAATAACACTGTTTGGCTGTCAGCAGATTGGACGTTGTGTTGTGAAATACATTAGGGGAGAACATTGAAAAGATTTTAGAGTTCTTTATGACAGCCTGTCACAGCAGTCACAGAGATGCTCTCCCTCCCCTGCAGCTGTCTGACATGTGATCTATAATAAATATGTACGGGTCTTTTTTTATTACCACTTTGTGAAGCAAGGGCCACCCTTGAGTTCTGTTTCCAATGCAGTGAATGATTTTATCTTTATATCCGTAAAAGGTCGTTTATATAGATTCTAAAGTAACTACGTAATTCAGGAAGTTAAAAGATTTATGTCAACCATTCAAGTATAATTATAACCAAATGCCACTCTGCATAGTCAGCAGAACTGAATGACTAATGAAAATAATAGCGATGCCAGTCACTGTGTACAACAGGTTATGGTTGTACAGTAAATGTCACATGCCGTTCCACCTCTCTCCTTGGCACAATTTCTACACCGATGTTGTCGTGCTAGAACGATGTGTGAAGCTGTTTCACCCACACTTATCTTGTTCACTCAGAGTTGATCTATTGCTTTGTCTATTGTACGCCTCATAGCAGTCTTTTCATGCTCTCACAGTAGAGAGACAGTGGAGCAGGGAGGTGCTGAGAACTGTTTTTGTCTGTCACCGTGTTCCATTCTTAATCCCACAAGCCTCAGTAATGCCTGCTGGAGCAGTGTGTGGGGGAGGGAGCTGGTGCAAATCACGCCTTCATTGGTTTTACTGCTGTCCTGGAAGTGGTGTGGGGGATGGGCTGCGTGGAAGCTTTCCTTATTCCTTAAATCCAGGACATAGACATGGAAGAAAGCCCAGCAAGATCTTTGTCGCAGTAATAGTGAATAATAATGATTGTACTGTATGTTGTGGCCTCTGAGGGAGAACTGCATACATTGGTTGACAGCAGTAAATAAGAAGGGAAGGCCACCACTGCTTTCAAACAGCTTACCTGTAAAATATATCCTTGATGAATGAAAAAAGAATTTTATTGCTTAACACAACATAATTATTTTTTAGGTCACTGTGAATATTTCTTATTAAACCACATGAAGAAAGTCATTCAATTCAAACCACATTTTTAAAAAAGGAAACCTTAAGTCAGATGAGATGCAGAATCAGAGTTGTAGTACAACTGTAGTAAAAATATTCCCAAGTGCAGCGTTAACACATCTGATCTGATAAAAGAAAAGGTGCAGTCAAGACAAACAAGTCATCATATTAGATATCCAAGAAAATGTCCATTCATTCATGCATATAGTGCTATTTTGCAACAGTTATGTATTATAAATAGTGGTAAATTAATAAAACCACGACTATTTCTACTACAGTTTGTTGTTTGTAAATTTACACCTGCCAACTTAAAGGTTGATGGTTGGACTGCATCTACGCTCTGCTCCCAACCTGTCAAAAAAACAAAGTACTGTGTCAGTAACGACAACTAGAGTAAAACTGTGCAATGTGGCTGTGCTAACAACTACACTTGTGATGGTGAACTGTGATAAAGGAAAAGAGCCAAACGTTATTCATTTTTATCCTATAGTTGGAAGCTGGAAGTAGACACTACATATAAAAAATATAGTCTGAATGTTCCCCACTGACATCAACAAAGAACATAACCTGAAATGTACTGTCCTGTCTTTTTACAAGACAAATGACGTTCTTGTGAAGTTAAGAATGTCTTTTATTCAAGTGTTTATCTTGTTTATGTGTACATTCCCCCTGAGCAGAGAACACTGACATGCTGTACTGTAGTAGTTCAAAGTTCTGTCAATCTCTGGATGTACTATTTATGACAAATCCCAATGGTGGAATTATTAATATTGAAAAATGTCAAGAAAATATTCCAAAGTATAACTCAAAAATAAGCTTCAAAGAGTTGCTGGATTATAGTCGTTTCTGTGCTTCTTGAAGGTCAGGAGTTGATTTCAAGTCTTCGGTAAAGTCTTCGTCCTCAACTAAATGTGGACTACCTCTACGGTCGCAATCTAATTGCCAGTTGTGTAAGCCATAGACTTGAAATGAAATGCTGGTGAAAAATGGAATTTTAAGATCAAGCTGCACCAGTGAAATGAAAAAAATGTTAATTGTGTCCAAGTCTATCGACTGTGTATTAGTGCAACGATGAGTGGATTTACAGTGAATCACATTCTATGGATCTGTCAAAAAGAAATGATCTTATTAATTTCACAAATGATTTATTGCAGTTGATAGGTTAATTTTAATCTAATAATAATCCATTCAACTGGCAACTTCCATTGCCTTTTTTTAAACTAACAATTGTGTAAGTCTAAATGTAACCAGTAACATGCCTGCCTAAAAGCACTAGCTGCTGCTACATGGCAAGGCGCAATCAGGGCATTAATCAGTATATGTCTCAGTTGCAATCTTGTTCTCCATGGTAGAGGTGTTAATAGCATGGCTACATTGTCCGTGTCCTAAGTTAAAGCTCCCCAAAGCGTTTGCTCTCAGATCCTGAATAAATCATCCCTACCTCCTCCGTACAAGTGCTAACCACCTCTGAGTGCGTCTCACTCTCCCACCTCTCATTATACAAATCTTGAGGAGTGAGGCATTCGTCAGCTGCCTCAGCTTGCTGCTGGCCTCAATAACTGGAGCAGCTCTCATGGAAAATTACATTGGCAGTGTTACTCTGTAAAAGGAGAGTGGGGGAGGGAGGGTGGGATGGATGGAGAAAGAAAAGGCTGCACTTAAATGAAAGAGCAAAGCGGCTGTACTGCACCACTGCTGATGTCCAGCTCAGAGAGGAGGGTTCTCTTCAGAGAAATGGACTTCTGTCTCTTAGTCTTTGACTGTCACGGACCAACTATGTCTCACTCCTTTGAACAAGTTCCTGGTTTAAATGTCTGGAGTTAAGAAAACACTGACACAATTCTTTTAGCCAGGTAAAAAAAAAACATACTCAAAGATTCTTGCTACAAAGATGTCGAGACCATAACCTGTTTCCCCAGTAGAGCAGGATCTACCAGTAGAGTACCAGTATTAGAAGCAATAAAAATATATACATATACATATACATATAAAACCCTGAGTATGACATGTATTGTATAAACAAAGTATGTTTAGTTTATATAAATAAATATGTATACATGTATACAAAAATGTATACATACCCTTCATATACTACACTTTTAATGATGTGGGTTTGCATCTTACTTTCAAAGAGTGTGTATGTGAGTGCTCCACAATTCCTGTTAATGTCTAATTGATGACAAATAGCGATAAATGACATTAGCGACATTTTTATTATTATTATTATTTCAATATAGCAAACATCAGACAGGAGGTTAGACAGGTTAGCTTGAATTATCCTGTAGTTAATACACAACCATACCCAGCATGGCGTACCTTCCAGCGGCTGCAACCACGATTGATTTCCTCTCTGAAATACTTCTGCTTGGTAATAACCTGAGCTAATTACGTTTGACATTTCAGTTCCATTTTAGCATAAGACTTGCCACCATAGTTGTGATCAAGCACTTGTTAAATGTGTGCAAGATTGCTGGAAAAAATTGCTCTTAACTTAGTGATCTTTTAATTACTGACTACCTGTAATTAGAGGAGCAGAAGTAAACAGTCTGTATATGTTGAGAAATCATAGCATGAATTATGTATAATCCGTGATTTATAGGTGTTAGTACCCCTGCCTCGTCACCTCTGCTCATTTGAAGACTTCAGCCTCACAGAGTTTATCACTGCTGCAGAAGGAAAACATTTTGACACTAATTGTTACTAATGAAGGAAAACATTTTGACACTAATTGTTTTCCATATCTGCCCTCAGCTGCTGCCTTCACTGTAATGTGAAATGTTGTGAACTCACAGACAAATGAAAACAGGAGACTATAGAGTATAAAAGTCAGGTCAGGGAAGTTGTTCACAAACAAACAGCTGTTGAAATCAATATAAAAGCTGTTAAAGCAACATTCCTATGTTTTCACCCACGGATTCTTTTCAGTAGAGTAACTTTCCTGTCATGCATACCACACATTTTCAAGGTTTACAGAACCTTGACATGCTTGTGCAAATCAGCAGAGTAATGAGCATACTGCAAATACTGTCAGTATGTGCGTCCAAGGCATAGTTCAGTCATTTATTTACATAAACTAAAAAATAATTTTCTCATTTGTGAATTCTTAAAAGCATAAGTGGAAAAGACTTATATTAGTTTTAGAAGAATTTATATGCTTTTAAAAAACGGAACTGACCAAAAAAACGTTCTGTGTAAAATAAATGTTTTTATAAAGTAATGCACATGGCTTGTGTTCCACTCTCAAGCTTCTGTATTTTCAGTAAACATATTTTGTTTGACACATTTTTAAACCAACAATTCCAAATATAACATTTATTTTAAAATATTGTAAAGTTTTTAATTTTAATTTACAAATGATATCAGCAATATAATGATATACCAGATTCTTTGTTTCAAAAAGGCACAATGTGGAGATAAAAACTTGGAGGGTTTTTTTAAACATATGATTATCAAAATCATTAAATAAAAACAAAAACCACAAACAGTCATTATACCAACAGTATAATGAAGTTAAAGCACTGTCTAAAGCCTACACTTACAGTTATTGAATTAAACAATAGTCTCTTTAAACA